GTGCTGTGAGTAATCCTAGGAGCAGGAACAAAAAGGGAAAAAAAAGAACTGATTTGGCCCATAATTGGAGAGCCAGTCAGATGCACACAGCTGTGCACAATACAGATTGCAGGGTGTCACTGCCTCTATTGAATTCAATAGAAAACTGCTTACTGGTCTAACAAGGACAGATTTAATCCTAGACCCTGAAATATCTCCACAAACCAGTTAATTTTCAGTATAAAATGTCTAAATGTATGCTTTATCAAGCCACTTTTATGTTTCCCTGGCCCCTTTATCTTGTGTCAACCAAAAATTCATAATACCAATTTTGACTGAAGGCTGGCTTTAATTACAATTTCTTTTACAGGTCTCAACTGCTTTTTGTGTCCTGGGAAATGAGAGCAATTCTTTCTATCATATTCAGAAAGAAAATGAAAAGGTTGGTAAATGTATAAGTAATTTTAACTGATTCATTGATCTGAATACTTTTAAAGTAATACAGTAAGTATTTCTGTCACACTTTGAAGTTAAGCTTGGAGCTCAGTTACATCCCTTAGGGTTATTTTATAGCCATTAAGAATGTGTACCTTTTATCTGGTGCCTTCAATTAATTGAATTTCAAAAATATTCTCAAATGTTTTTAGAAAATCATTTAGTACCTGGAGGACATTCCTGTGTGATTTATTGTTACAGTAATTAAAAGCAGTGAGTATTACACTGGTCACTGTTGGAACTCCTGTCTGCCTTTGGCTATATTTTGGTTTAAGTTAAAACATATAGTACACTTGAGAGACTTGTGAAGGGAGGTAAGAAAAAAATTAATTCTTTTCAGATTGCTTCAGAATTTTGGCACACTTAGAAATAACCTCTTAAAGTGATCACAGTGATATTTACATGATAATTGTATGCAAGCACAATTAAACTTCTATATTAAACAATTAAATAGTGCTTTTCCTGCTATGGTGAATTATTCCTGACTACCCATATTAGTATTCTGTAGTTCTAATCATTGCCATAAATAATTTTCAGTTTTACACATTCTGCTCTGAAGCCATTATTAAGAACTCTCAGGAAGAGTTAAAACAGCTAATGAAAATAATTAGCAGGAAAAAAATGTTAGTTCATCCTGCACTGAATGATAACCCTGACTGAAAACTACAAATGCTGCCTTAATTGCATCTTTGTTTTTTGAGGCACTCACAGCTCTCTTCTGTGATCCCTTTTGTGCAAGAAGTGATGGCTCACGAGCAGCGCTTTGCAGAACTCCTCACTCACAGGAAGATCCGTGGGGTTACACCCCCGGCCCACGTCTCTTCGCTTGTGAAACACGGAGGAAGGAGCTTATTGCTGTGTTGCTTCCCTGGAGCTCCACCTCAGCAGCACGGCTCACCTGGCCAAAGTCTGCAGCAAAGGAGAACTTGGTGCCACTGACTCCCTTGGTGTCTTCTGCCTTTTCAGAATCTTCCAAGAGGCTGGGTTCTGCTTCAAAGTCTGTGAAATTATGCTCTTTTCCTACTGAAAAATAATCCTCTCCACCCATCCACATATTGAGCACATAAGACAGCCTTAGCTATTTCTCTAAGCACATCAAAATGGTTTTTTCTAACACAAATATATTTTCAACATCATGGTCTCACAAATGGAATTATGGTAATACTTGCTTACAAAATTCTTTAAAACACAATTGCGAACCTACATCTTTGTGGACTACAAAAGATGCTCAGATGACCACACAGGATCTGAAAATAAATGTGGTTTATTAGCTTAGGCATGCATTTATGAATAAAAGTCTAGTTGTACAGATTCTGGCCAATACAGGCCAGTACTAGATAAACATTTCACATTTTAACGTACGCACTGAAGTCATTGTTCAAAGTAATAACCTATCCTTTTAATAAACCATCCCCGTTACACAGAAATGCCTAAAGGTTTTCTAGTGTGCATCAGTCTTTTGAACATCACATAATGAATTTAATGTGAGAAAAGGAAAAGAAATGTACCTGTGTGGATCCCTGCAAATTAAGACAAACCTTGCTGCTCTGAGGCTACCACATAACTTGGCACCGTATAACCAGATGAGGACAAAAATAGTTTGAGTGAAAATCTGATTTCTATCCATGTATTTACTACATTCTGAATTATATTGGCTTTCCTGTGAAATTATTCCAGTTAAGTAAATTATCTCAGAGGTTTCATGATTAAGCTAATGTGTTTCTAGGACCTTCATAGTGAACATGAGTTATGATACATGCATTAGTATATTATTCCTTGACTAGGTGTGATTTAGTAACCTCTACAGGAAAATAAAGGCCAAAAAAGTAAGAGATCAAGCTGCTGTTTTCTCCCATCTGGTATCTTAGAAAGTAGGTCTTCAAAATACAGCCATAGTGCCAAAGGAATTGACACTGAAAATGAAATTATATTCCCTTTCTGAATGGAAATATGTGGTGCTATCACCAGTGCTGTTTGTCTAATGACATGGAAAATTAAGGGTTATGACCACTTGGTATCATTTAATAATGGCCTTTTCACAGCAGAGAGGGCATTGCTCTAGCTACAGAAATGGGAAAGAATGCCAAAGAATGCCAGGATAGACAGGACCAACGGCACTTCTACAGTGAAAAGAGCACCTTTTAATAGTTTAAACATTATAAATGTCTGAAACCTTAGCATTATTGGTCATTTAAATAAAAGTGAAAAAGGAGAAAGACAACCTAACATTATGAACAGCATAAAGCAAGATCTACAAATGCCCTTCTGGCCTCGGATTCTGGCCTGTGGTTTTTTTGGGAGTGCTGCCCAAAAGCTTTTGCTCTTGTTGCAAGCATCTTTCCAGATTTATCAGTGGCCAGTGTTCCCTCGGTGTCCATGATGTCGCTATGGTTGACCTGCCTGCATGTCTACTGGGATTCCAGCTCCACTTAGTCTGGTTGCCCTCCTGCTTGGCTAGACCAGTTTTTGACAGAAAGCCACTGTGCTTTCTGCTACGCAGGTCAGAGTGGCAATGGATGGCAATTTCCAAGATGTGCAGGTCGACATGAGCAAATTGGAAAAGACAGACTCGAGTCTGCTCACTTCCTTTAAGCATCACCGAAATAATTAAAAATGTTGATCTCGTGGACCTGAGGTTGTTATATTACAAAAGACTCATATTAATGTACTGTTACTGGTTGTAGCTGTTAATATAAAAGATTACTCTTTGAACGATGTCTCCTGCCCTTGAACATCATATTTCAGGGCAGAGATGCAGCTGAATCCAGCAGCCCCCCAGCACCTCACCACCAGAGTTCCCCCCGCTCTGACTCTGCCGTCGGGAAAAGCGAGGGCGGCCTCTGGCCGAGCACCCGGCGCCGGGACGGGGAAAGGTTTGGAGGCCACACTGAGAGGTCCCGGTGCCCTCAGTGCACGTTGGGGCCGAAGGGCAGGTGTCACCTGCAGGCGGCGAGGGTGCCACCCCGCTCTGTCAAACGCGGGCTGGCCGGGCAAGCAGGCGGCGGGACGGGGCGCCCGGAGCGGCCGGGCTGCCCCTGCCCGGGCAGGGCGCTGTCCCGGGGAAGTCGGCCGGGCTCAGAGGCAGCCCGGGGTAGGGCAGAGGGACAGGGCCCCCGGGGACCGGGAGGAAAAGCCCAGACCCGCAGGGCCGGGACAGGGACGGCACACACGCCTCCTGCACTCCGGGAGCACGGCAGAGCCCTCGTCCCGCCGGCGGGAGGGAGCCTGGGCGGGCAAGCAGGGCATCCACGTCGCCGTGGGTTTGTTACTCCGCTTTAAAATGCAAAGGAATGTGGCGTGATTGGCTTTCTGTTTACAAGTGCAGATGGGGAGAAGGCTCGCGTTTGCTTTCTCCGTGTGGTTTCCCCACACTGAAAGCTGCAAGGGCAATACGAGGTGAGAGAAAGGGGAAAGAGAAGAGGATTTCCCAGTTTCAGCATTCATCAGATTTACCTTGTCATTGCACTACAAGGTGCAGCGTGTGTCGAACATTACGAGCACGGGGCCATGCAAATGACACAGGCGTGAAAGAGCCCTGGCAAGAATAAATCTGTCGATGTACAGATGTTCCCTATTAACGTTACTGTTCAGCCTTGGTGGTTACTGTGGGAAGACACCGGATTAAAAATTCCTATTGCCACCCCACCTCTGCTGAACCTTTCTCCCCACACCTCTTTGTCTTCGCTTAATTAGGTAGGATATAATACTCTTTTTTTCTCCTCCTCTGTCTTATTGAGACGTCTGCCCAGGCTCACGCCTTTAAACAGGAATGATATTGATCCCTCCTCCCTCTTCTGTCAATCCCGATTTGTCCCTTTTCCTGCTGAACAAACAATTAAGAAAAGAAAGTAGCGAGCGCGCGGTGGAACTTGTCATGCCCGGGCTCCCGCGGGGATCCCGGGCGCTGCGCTGCCCCGCACACCGGCCCGGAGCCCGAAGCGGCCCTGGGCGCCCGGGACTGACCGAGGGTGGCGGGAGGCTGCGCTCCGGGAAAGGCATTTCGGGCTGGGGTCTCGCCGCCGGTTCGCCCTGCCTCGGGCCCGTGTAACTTCTCCTCGGGAGAGAGCGGCGGTGGCGGCGGCAGCCTGCGGCTGAGGCCGGGCGGGACGGACGGCCGGACGCAGGGAAGGGCGCAGGAGGACGCAGAGGACAAGCGGGAACAAGCGCTCCTGCCCCGACCTGCTTTCGGCTGCCGCGGGCACCTGTCCCCGCTCCGCGCTCGGCTGCCGCCCAGCTCCGCCCGGAGGAAGCCCCCGGTGCCCGGGCAGCCGCGGCGCAGCCCGCCTCGGGGGCGCTGCAGGGAGCGGGTCCCCGGTGCCGGGAGCTCCGCGCCGCCCCCCTTGCCCCCTCCCCGCGGCCGGGGGCGCTGGCCCAGGCAGTCCCCAGCAGCTCCGCGGCGCCCGGCTCCGCAGCGCTGCCCCCGGGCTATGAATAAAGCCGAGGCGGCCGCGGGGACAGGTACAGGTGCCCGTCTCCTGTGCGCAGGGCTGCGCCGACGTCCCAGCCCGCCTCCTCCAGCGGGAGGGAAACAAAGACGGCGAGAGAGGCAGGGAGAGTTGCCTGTAAGTTTAGCGCCTTTCAGTCGTGACTCGCGGAGATAAATGATAGTTTGGAGGTGCGCGCAGTTAATCACCGCCACGGCTGCCGTACAGCGTGTGCAACCCGCAGATCATTAGGTTAAATGGAGGACATTCGTGTCCTTCCAGAATCAATGCAATTATTGTTGGCAACAAGGACAACAATTGGAGTGGCAGCACTAATTTTACTAACCTGCTATTAATTATGGTGTCCCCCACGCCCCAGACGGCGTTTATAACCCGCGGAAGCAAGCGGCGCTGGCTGCTTCTGTTTTAAAACGGGAAAAGTTGGAAGTGGAATGCCTGGTCGTGTTGGAAAGTGTTAATCAGTAGGAAAGAGTGTGATCAGTGGAACTATTCACTTGAGCGTCACTCTGGTGCGGGGGGTTAGTGAAGTGGCTGCGGCGCCTGGGGACCGGAGGCTCCGTGCCGCGCCGCGCAGGTAGCGCGCACTGAGACATGTCTGCGTTAGCTCCCCGCAGCTCCCTGCCACGCCAGCCAGCGCACACCAGAGGAGAGAAGCCCTGCCATGGCACAGCCATCGCTACCAGCTTTTAGCCGAAGTCTGGCGTGATCGCAGGTAAAAAATTTCTTCCTTTGGTGGTGGTGCCTGTGAGTGTGTGTGTGTGTGTTTGTGTCTCTATGGAAGCGGGGGTGGAGGGGAGCGGTGGGGCTTACCCCCCCTCCCCCCCGCCCCCCTTCTCCTTCGGAGCCTGCTTTAGCAGCAAGGCAGCTGAAACAGAACTGCTGGAGGGAAGAGAAACTATCCGTGATGAATCATTTGGCTTTGTGCAATCTTTACCTAGGACAGAGGGTAAATGTATTTTAACATACGTGTGTTATTTCTTGGGAAGGGGGTGTGGATATGGTATTCAGCGAGCACTAAGGTAAGGTACTGAGTCAAACTTTCTGGATTTTAAGGCAAACTTTAAAAAACAAAATTTGACCTTGCAAGCAGGAAAGTTTTACCTTCGCAGGGAAGTAAGTTGAAGCTGTCGGCTGCCAGAGAGCTCCAAGGTGGTGGTGTCTAAATGCCTGCAGATCTGCAGCACTGGGGGTACAGGAACTGAGAAATGAAGTCTTATACAATCTTTGCTTTGCTAGTGAAGGCGTAGTTGTAATGCTGTGCACCAAGCAGGTAAATGTGGACTTTTTGTAGGGTCCATCTATAGCCATAGAGCAGCTGCCCAGGTCGCAGCACTTACTTCTCTTGCTGAAAAGTTTTCTCTGTGTGTGTGCATGTGTGTGTGTGTAGGTGTGCATGTAAGAGAGAAAGAGAGAATGAGAATGCTGGCTCTAGTTCTTAAGTGTGAAAAGTTAATAAATACAAAGAATAAGCATGTGAGGCCTTTCTGCTTTAATCTAGATTGTTTGCCAAGAGGATTGAAGACTTACAAAATGAAAGCATTCAGCTGGATAGCTTTGAACAAACTGATTTTACATGTAGTTGTAAACTGAGTAAATTAATTAGCAGTGCCTTCTTATGCAACTGTTCTGTTGGTCATCATGGCTCTGCCAATCCCAAGCCATGGCATGGGCTTGTGCAGGTCGGAAGTATCATCTTGCTGTCCCTCGATTCAGAGTGCAGGAGGTGCAGTTACACCTCAAATTGGCTCAGGGAAAAAACCAATCATATTTACTGCCAAAAGCAAGTTTTGGGGAGCTAACTTACTTGAAAATGTTGCAGGCTGCCCCAGGTCCCATGTTAGATTCCAAGTGGGCAACACGTAGATGTTCACAGCATTTATCAGGCGGTGTCAATGTTGCTTTAAGTCTGTAACATGAAAACAAAGCAAACTCGACTGAAGGAGCTTGCTAAAGACTGTTTAGCCCATAAGCAAATTCCGTTGCTGAAATATTTCCAGGAGTGGCAATAACCCCTCCAAAAGAGAAGGCGATGAAAATGCAGATAGTAAGTGTAGCTGCATTAACTGCCTCTAGATCATGTCCCTGAAGACGTCCATCAAAGCCTGAGTCCTGAAGAGGTTCTGTTTTACCTGCTGTGGCCTGTTGCAGCATCACACTCTTTCATTCTCATTCCATGTTTTTACAATAAAACTTGTATGAGCATTGGCTCCAGGTACTCAGAGGAAAAGCTCATAACCCTGGGAGAGAGACCTGGATGGGCTTTGGATGGGAAATACCTGCTTGCCTGAGTGTACAGGCTGGTTCTGACCAGAAGGGAACTCTACAGCATTTCCTATTGATCATGATGGGTTTCCTTGCTCAAACTTTGGAGAAAGCTGTGTGTGTTTCTTTCTCAAAAGCTGTTAACTGCATTGTACAGGAAAGGGGCTTTGACAAGGATCAATTTTTATTGCACAGCAAAGACTTGCATTTTCCAAATGCTTAAGGATATAGCCCACAGCATTAAGCGTCTTTGCTTGGATTTGAACAGAGTTACCTTGTTTATGTGCAAGAACCACAAAGGTTATTTTAAATCATTGCGGGGCTTAATGCATGTTTGTGCTCTGGCACCAAAAATTCAAGATGAAATATAATTGTGTTGAGTTTCTTATCAACAAAGGGCCATTATTTGTAGACTGTAAGTGAAACAAGACATCAGCAGTGGGGGAGCACGTAATGTCAGCTTTCAGCGTTTAAGGTTATTAAGTTTTTTTTGTCGCTTTTTCTTTTATTTGTTTGTTTTGGTGGGGGTTTTTTAATGACTGCTTTCTAGGGAATACAGATTGGAACTGACACAAAGCTGACCGGGGGTAAAGTAATAGAGCAGGCAGGCTGCAAAGAAAAATGACAAATAATTATCATGATTAATACAGGAAAGTTCAGCGCAAAAATGGGCACCAGAGTATTTGCATGGCGCAGTGAAAGACAACTGTGATATATAAATAGACAAGGACTATAAATATTGAATTTCTCCTTGTATTTTAAAGTTTAATAGACTCATCTAAATATCAAAACCTGTAGTGCACTGTGGGCCACTGCGGAGTTGACATCTGCAGTGGAAAAAAAAATAAATAAAAACTAAAAACACCAAAAAAAACCCCACAACTCCAGGACATTTCCCAAACTGTAGCCTGGAAAACTGGGAGGACTTCTTCAGGCAGTTCTCCAGCACTCCCAGCTAATTATAGTGCTTTACACCGAGCCGCTCTTGAGATAAGTGCAACTATTTTCTTCCCTAGCACCGGTGAGTTTTATTCCGGAGCTTAAACAAACATCCCCCAGCGCAATGGGCACAGCAGGCAGAGGGAGCAGCACGGAACACTGCGTGCAGACCATTGTGTAAACACTGGGTGTCTTTTCTTCCCAAACAATGCAATAGTCCGTCAGCACTCCGCACAGAAGGAAGCTGCTGGTAAAGAGTGGATAAAAGTATTATTATACCTTGGTAGCACGGGGGTATAGTGCAGGAGAAGGAATAGAGGAGCCCTTCTATAAAAGAAACCCAATGGCAAAGTTATTAATATTCTCAGAAATAAAAAGGAATTAACATTTCAGGTGAGGAAAGAAAAGGCTCTTTCTTCCCATCCAAAAATCAATACAGAATTCCAAACCGATTATTTATGTCATTTGATTCCCTTTCTTTATACGTTTCTCCCGGCTACAGATACTGAGCTGTCAGGATAATTTGCATGTACTGTATCTGATATCTTTTATTTGCAAACACTCTAAAGCGCCATAAAACGCCTCTCGTTGTAGTCTAACTCGATCTGAGGACTAGTATTTTCATCTGTAAATTAAAGCAATTACGCAGCAGATATTATATTATGTGTACTGTGGTCTCCAGATAGTCATCAATCACCCTCAATCGAGCTGTCAGTGTGGGCAGATTCGTTTCTGGGAGGCAGTCTTCCAGCTGGGGAGAAGAAGAGAATATCATCATTAATTAGAGTGTGACCCTGGGGCTATTCACATGTCTGAACCCAGGAATCTCTCTGAGCAAGTCTGCACACCATGGAGCAGCGTTCGACTGCACCAGCAGCCCCGCTTCAGCCTCGGAGCTGACTCCTCCGCTCCCTCCGTCCAGCCGGGGGCTGCCCGCTCGCCCTGCCTCGGTGGCACCGGCCGGCGGGGCAGAGGTGCTGGGGCTGCCAGCACCTTCCCCCCACGGCCCGTCCCCTCCGAGCGTGCTGCAGGGGGGGATTGCTGCCTGCTCGTGTCCCAGACCCCCAGAGGGTAGGGAGGCTGATGGCAGCGGTGGGATGGGTCGGGTAGAAGCGGGTGTTGGAAGTTAAGAGATGGGATCAAAGTCTTTTTAACGTGGAAAGTCACATCTTTTCCATCATGCCCCGGAAGACGCTTGTAGGGTTTTCTACCTGTAATCACACGCCTGGAATAAAAGCCGAAAAGAAAAGGAGGATTGCTTATCATGTGCTTTATTGTCAGCGTTAGCGCTAATTTTAACTGTTGATTAAATCTTAAATGAAGACTCAGTCGTGTGTCCCTTCATATGTCTTGTTTGTAATTGAGACTAATTATTACTGTGGGGTGGGAAGAAGCAGCTGCTCATTAATTAATTTCTAATTAAAAGTGCTTACTAGCCTTTCAGTGACTAAGGAGGGTGGGGAAAATAGCTGATACAACATTGATCCTTCAGATTAAAAACATTCATTTCCTTCCCTTGCCCGCAGAAATAGATGTGTTGCAAGCAGGCGTTGCCACTACCGAAGAGCTTCCCAAACTTTTCTCCCCTGTTAGGCAGGCTGAAGGCGATGCTGGAGAGTCTATTTTCCATGCCAGGGGAAAGATTCCCGAAAATGAGTGTTAAACTTACAGGCAGGTTAATTTGAGTAGGTTTTGCTTGACGTCAGAGGCTCGTCTCTTTTAAAACAACGTGCTTGTGAGCTGATGCATTTGTGTCACTTTTCTTCTTCCCACCTTTTGTTTTTCCGTGGGTGCAAAGTATTTACTTTTTGCCGTCACGTCTGCCAGCCTGGAAGCCTACATGTAACAATTATTTCTGTGTCGTAGCCGTAGCGGGGAAGGTACTAAAATCGCCGTACATATTTAAAAGAAAAAAAAAAAAAAGTTTGAGTTTTCATGTAAATAAATTAAATGTGGTTTTCTGCTTCGTCCTATAAGCATCTAGGGACCTGTGGTTACCAATCAATTGGTACAACAGAGCAGAGCCAGGCTGCAATAGCGTGCAGATCAGACGCCTCGCCTTGTTTCTAGATAACTGGGAGCCTCTGTACCATGTCCTATCCTCAGTTTGGCTACCCTTACTCCTCTGCACCCCAGGTAAGACTTTTTGCCTACCAACGTTAATTGATTGAATTTCAGTCCTTATCGATGCCTTCCGTCCGGGATGAGGGCGGCAGCGATCCTCTCCCGCATGCGGTAGCGGCAAAGCAGATGCTCGCTCCACAGCTTTACAAGATGCCCAAGTTCTGTGTTGGGCACCAGTTTTAAAATGGGATGAAACACGCGGGATTTAGGGTGTTTGGGGGTGATACAGACTCGTGGGAGATGATTACAGAGACGAGAGAGGTGAGAGGGGAGCTGGAGAAACCCAACCCCCACCCGCACCCCCCCCTTTTTTTTTTCTCTTTCACGATTAAATTCACGATTATCAATTAAACATGGATGTACAGAGGTCCGGCCCGTAGAAACAGAATGGGATATTCAAAACCAGCAGGTTAATAACAGATGCGTGCGTGGCTGCAACAAATCTGCAGTCAAAATAAATATGCATGAATGACTTCGAAAAAAAGGGTTTAAAAACGCAGATGGGAATCATTGTGCTGCAAGAGGAGAAAACGGTGTAAACCCCAGTCTTGTGGAAACACCCCAGGAAAAGTTAGCTTTTAAATGCAGAGGGCCTGAGGAATGTATTATAGAGGATTAAACATCCACAGTCACGGGGCGTTTGGTTGTTGTTGTTGTGGAGTCGTTCTAAAAAATTGCACCTCTGCAAAACACTTGCACCTCTGCGCTTCTCCAGAGCTTTTCTATCACGATTAAAGTAAAATGCGGCGGGGGAGGGAGAAGGGCGGGCGACACCCCAAAGATACTAACCGGATTTGGAAAAAAAAAAAAAAAGAAAGAAAAAAAAAAGAAAAAAAAACCAAGCCCAAGCAAAAACCCACACCATCTAAAAGCAACCGAACCCAAACTTGGTTACACTTAGGGAAGTTCCCCCCACCCCGCCCTCAGCGCCGCTCTCTTTCCCTCCAGTTCCTGATGAGCACCAACTCCCTGACGACCTGCTGCGAGTCCAGCAGCCGGACGCTGGCCGAGACGGGGGCGGCCGCCTCCGCCCAGACGCCCGTGTACTGCCCGGTGTACGAGAGCCGCCTGCTCGCCACCGCCCGCCACGAGCTCAACTCCGCCGCCGCCCTGGGCGTCTACGGCGGGCCCTACGCCGGGCCCCAGGGCTATGGGAACTACGTGACCTACGGCACCGAGGCTCCCGCCTTCTACTCGCTGGTAAGCCGCCCCGGGGATGCTCGCTCCCTCCCTCCCGTCGCTGCCCCGGGGGCGGGGGCCGCTCGGCGGGACCCCCTCCCCGGGCGGGGGCAGCCCCGGGCGCTTCTCCTCCGCCCCGCCGTGCCCAGCCCGCGCTCGGCAGCTGCTCCCGGCTCCAGCCGCCCCTCGCTCCTCGCGGCATCGCAATTAAAAGTCGCGCCTGACGAGCTGGCGGCCGAGGGCGGAGGGCCCGTCCGGGCGGGCAGTTTCGGGCGACCCAGATGGCGGTGCGGCCGCGGGGGCTCGGCCGGCAGCTCGCCCCCGGGGCGGGCCTCGCTGGTGGGGGCGGCCGCGGGCCTCGCTGGTGGGGGCGGCCGCGGGGCAGTGCGGCGCCGACAGTGACCGTGTGTCTTGTTTTTGCTGTCCCTTCCCCCGCCCCCGCCCCGCAGAACCCACGGGCAAGGAGGAGAAGGAACTGGAGCTCAGCGACCTGGAGGACTTGGACGCCGCCGAGTCGGAGAGCTCGGAGTGCGAGCTGAGGCGGCCCTTCCCGCACCCGCTCCCGCACCCGCACCCGCTCCCGCTCCCGGGCGGCAGCCACCCGCCGCGGGCCGCCGAGCTCCCCGCCAAGATGCCGCCGCCGGCTGCCGCCGGGGAGGAGGAGGAAGAGGAGGAGGCGGCGGCAGAGCGGGCGCGGAGCTGCCTGAAGACGGCGGCCGAGGAGTGCGGCCCCGACCCCCTGGGCGCTCGGCAGCGCGGCTGCGAGTCCAAGATGTGCTTCCAGCAGGGGCAGCAGCTGCTGGAGGCGAAGCCCCGGATTTGGTCCCTGGCGCACACTGCCACCTCCCTCAACCAGGCCGAGTACCCCTCCTGCATGCTGAAACGGCCGGGGGGCTCGGCCGCCGCCGCCGCTCCCGCCCCGGTCAGCGTCATGGACAGGCACCAGGACTCGCCGGTCACCAACCTCAGGAACTGGGTGGACGGGGTGTTTCACGACCCCCTGTTCAGGCACAGTACTTTAAACCAAGCCCTGAGCAACACGACAGTTTCCTGGGCTACCACCAAAGGAGCCATTCTGGAAACGGGCGCCTTGGGACGCGCGGTGGGGAACGGCGCCAATGTGCTCAAGGGGCAGCTCTCAAACCTGGCCCACCATGACTCAAACAAAGAGTTTCTGGCGTTCCCCAAATCAGGAAGCAAAATGTTTTGTTCCTAACAGGCCCGCCGAGGGGCAAAGGACTTTCTAACGCTTGAAGAGTCAGCTACACTGAAAAGAGACTTGCAAGAGTTTAAATTTAAATATAAAACTTTTTCTTCTTCTTTTTTTTTTTAAACAAACAACATAAACGAGGATTTAAAGTTCAGTTTGCTCAGTTCAACGGAAAGACTTTGCTCATTGCTGTTCTGAACATTTTCTCCTGGCTGCGACTTTAAGGGATCAATGTCGTGAAAGTTATTTAATTCCATGTCCAAAAAGCACGTACTATAGTGTAGACCTACTTAAAAAGTTTACATCCGAAAGTTTACAAACGGGAAATTTTAATTCAGATTTAATTTAAGGCATGCCGACATTAGTTGTAAAGACTTTTCGAGAATTTTTCCTCCTGATTTCCTTGTTAGCATATAATTCACAAACAGCACTTCTACTAAGTTTACACCTACTGCACAAATTTATCTTGACAAAAAAAAATATGTTAAAGGGTATGCTCACTCCAATAAATTGTCTGTTTCAGAGGTAACACAAGTGGTGGCGTTTTGCATTGGGCAACAACTTCTGTGTTTCAAATTCCCCCTCGGAGCCGATCCCGATAATTCCAAGGACTGTCAACAGGCTGCCGGGGGAGGGGAAGAGAGGCTCAGCGCAGCGCTGCCGCGGGACTGAGGACGGAGCCCGGGAGGCGCGCTGCCCGGAGCGATGCTGGGCTGCGCTCCGATCCCGCCGTGCCTCCGCGGGCAGCGACGGGCCCCGGCCGCCTCCCGGGCCGACCGCGGGGGCTCCGGCCGCCCGCCAGGCCCGGCGGGGCGGGAGCATCCCGCTCTTCCCCCTCCCCTCCTTCCCGAGCTGCGGCCGGGCGGGGGTCGGCCCCCAAGGGCCGGGCTCTGCTGCGGCGTCGCCTCCGCCGTGCGCGGAGCAATTGATTCACATGGAAAATTTGATCTTTTAAAGAACCGTTTTAGCTTTCCAGCTCCTCTGCCAGTGCGGAGAATCGCTGATCCGCCATGAATATTTCAGCACTTCAGTACAGATGCTTTACCGATTTGACATTAAATAGAGTGCAGCCAACAAAAAGAGAGAGGGAGGAAGAGCGCTCTCGACGTGTGATTCAGGAGCACTCGCAGCCAATTTAACACTTAGATAACAGGCGCTTAAAAGATTTCATTTCCTTCCCCGGAATGGGAACAAACTTTACTGATCCCCGGACCGGGAGACAGGGAGAACTGCTGGATGAGAAACTGCGAGGCAATAATAGATCCCGGCTTAACCGGGCCGGCCTGGAACCCCTGAGCCTCGGGGCCCGGCGCGGCGCGGAAAAACCGAGAGCACCCGAAGGACCAAACTGACACCGGCACAAGCAGAAGAGCCTTCCCTGCCTCCCAGCATTCTCGCCCATCCCACCCCAGCGGCTCCCCGTCGGTCCAGCCCTCTTCACAATAAATAAATAATTATACGATAAAGGGGGGAAATATACAAAGGAAACTATAAACGCAACCGAGAAAACACTCAGCCAAAATATAACATACTCCAGCCTGCGAAGTTTCTAGCGAGACCTGTTAGTGCAAGGACTGAATAAAGGAATCCAGGTGCGGAGATCAGATCAAGCCCTTCCCCTCTCTGCGAGCAGCCGTAATTGGATTGTATCCAGTCATATTCCCTGTCATTGTATTGACTTTCGCTCTCTTGGATGATATTATCGAGATCACTGAACCCCTCTGCTGATCTGGCTGTCAAAAGGCTCAGACAGGAGCCCCCGGCCTGGAAAACGTGCATCAGCCGAGATAATTTGAAGTGAAATTTTCATTTTGACAGTAAACCCCTCAATTTCTAAAGGCTCTGCACCCGGAGAGCTCGGTGGCAGGGGGAGGCTTTACAGAAAGCCCACGTCTTAAACTGAAAAGGGCAAAAGAACTCGAATTAGTTGTAATAGATAAAAGGGCAAAAATAAAGAGTCAAGGGTACTTGACAGTAATAGCGAAAGTGGAGTCTCGGGGGAGCCGCGATCTGAGCTAAAGGCTGGGCCGGCAGGAATTTTAATGCAGCCGGGGCGGCCGGCGAGCTTTGCCTCTGAAACCCTTTAGACAAAGCAAATTATTTTCAGCCAAACTAAAGAGACGGGGATGAAGGAGGCGAGGGAGAGGGAAGGGGAGGAAGGCGAGGGTTCGGGCTGCCCTCAAACCATTGGTAGAGTCAAGCGGGATGGGGCACAAACCCCTCAGACTGCTGCGAGGGTGATGTTAAAGAGGGGAGGTTTGTGTGTGTCAGCCTTGCTGGATGTGCAGGGACTGGAGGGGACACGGGTACTCCCGGTGGGCTTCGGTTTCCATGCGACAGAGGCTCTGTGGAGTGGAAGGGAGCTCCATTTTTTCTCCTAGCACAGGGACAGCCGAGTGTGTGTGCACTCTGTGTGTCTGCGTGCAAGGAGAGGTCTCGTCCACCGGGCAGCCAAAAATCTCTCTCAGCCTGAAAAGCTCCCTGACTTTGAGGAGCGCCGGCCCCCGCTGGCCTCCCTGGGATGGCTCTCTGCGGGTGACCCCGCAAGCCATAAAAGTCATTTTACAAGTCATTGCTGGCCGGCTTTGGCTAGGTCCGGGATTCAGTTCGGACATCCCGTTGTTTGGGAGGCAACACCCTCCCTCTTCCCCCGCTCCTTGCCTCCTCCGGACTTAAAATGAGGGTGATAACACTGTGAGCAAAACACAGGGGCACTGAAATACCAGAAGCCAAAAGAAAAGCGGGTCAACACTTTATCCCTTCATTTTCGTGTTATTGTTGTTATAAAACAAGTTTGAGTAAGTTTACGGCTGCTGTATAACAAGAGCAGGGCTCTTCAGACCAGGGAACAGGCTGTATCTCGGGTCTGGAAAATCTGTGTGTGCTCACACCAAAACGTTGCCCATCCTGAGAGGAGACCGTGTCAGTTAAGGGGGAGGGAAAAGAGTTTCCCTCTTTAATACACAAACCTTATGACTTAGATGAGCCATGAAATGCAGAGGTCTTTCAAAAGGGTTGGGGTTCCTGTTGTTTGGTTGGTTTGATTTTTTTTTTAATATGAACAAAAGAGTGTGAGAAATTAATTTTGCCATTTGATTCAATAGCACAAGTTCAGGTTCTGCTGCTTTAGAGGAATCTGCAAGGCTGAAAGGGAAAGCCGTGCAGCTCATATGTCTGTACAAAGCAGAAATATAAAGGCAGACTGAGAAAGAAGGAGGAGGGGAAAAAAATCATAGAGAAACGTCTTGAAACTGAGAGACTCTAAATCATTCAGCCATGGCAAATTCAAACACACAAAGGAGGGGATGCTAAATTAACAGTGCTTTTTACATAGAGCCCAAATAAAACTGTAATCAGCGACGCGTTACTTTTCATTAAGCGAGTTTGACAGGAGCATATTCAGCCTCGACAAGGGAACAGGAGCAAAGAAATATACGGCTCTCCCAGCCCGAGTCATAAGATAATTCCTTAAGCTCCATTAACAACTCTTAGCCGCAGGAAATGGGCTCCCTGAAAACATCTCCAAATCTAAAAGCTTTATCGACCTCTCAAACCTCTGCTGATGGTTCTATTTTTTTAAAAAAACTTAGAGGCGAGACGTCCAGCAAGGTAATAGACTTTGACACAACACCTTCTTAACTAGAGAGAGAGAGGCAGAGAAAACGAGACCTTAAATGATATTTAAAAGGCAGCCAATTAAGATTTAAAATGATTGTCTCCTGAGATTATGCATGCGATTTATGTCATCTACTTTTTTTTTCCCAGACATGCATGCAAAATTGCAATGGGGCATATTGCCTGATCCTTAAATGATGATGATGATGATAATGATGATGATGATCATCATCATCATAATAATAACAATAATAATAAGAGTAATAGAAGAAACAGTAGCAATTAACAATCTGTAACTATCGCACATAATTGCAAATGATGATTCAGGAAAGGACTAGTGTTTAGGTAACCTGATTACAGAGCACCTTGCAACAGCCAGCTTATTTATAGGTGTCTAATTAAAAGACAGATAGATGAAATTATTTGCACATTATCCACTAATGTCCAGGAGCACATTTCTTTTCATCCTGAGTGAATATTTGACTATTAAATTCACATAATTAATTTGTAGTTAAACAACCCAGTGTAGCAGCTCCTTCCCGCTAGCCACATGAAGATTTTGTGTCCAAGAAGATTTTGTCTTGGCAAGACTGACTATATATTTTTAAGATATAATGGTTCAGAAGGAGACTCTGACTTACTACAGTCTTTTTGCTACACATTTGCCTTTTCCATTTAAATCTGACCTTCAAATAATGTGAAGGCTTGCGTGTGTGAAAGTGTATCCAGTTAAATGCCAAGAAAAGAGTTAATGCTCACATTGTACCATTTCATGCAGAAATTCTGTGAAATGCAAGAAAATATTATAACTTGCTGGTTTGGTGAGAGATCAGAAATTGTTTTAATGAATGTGATTTCTAGATGAATGAGGTGAAAAAAGATCGTTCAAACACCACTGTGTTTTGGCCAAAGGCCAAAGTGTTTTGGTTCCCACTTAGAATAAGTTAGTTCAGTCTATGAAGCAATGAGCTTGGATCTGAGTCCCATGCTCTCTTGAGCATGTAACTTAATCCTTTAAAAAAGTGAAGAATGAAGGAATGTTAACAGTCAAATTATACATTTTTATTTGCATGGTAAAAAAAAAGTGCTATAAAAATAGGAAGCTATTTTTAATAGAAGAGCTAATGGTCAAAGCACAAGTCCTGAAATATGACATCTGGCATGTTTCAACTCACATTTACTGTCAAAAAGTCTATGAGGTGCTTAGGACTTGTGGGAAGCGTTCTCTTCATCCTCCTTGTGAAATGGCATCATGGCAGATAATAATCCTTGATTTGTAGACCCCCCCAAAAAAGCAGTCTTAAAATACACACTAGCTGTATGTGTCTGGAGGAGTTAAATGCATAAATCATTGGTCTTCTGTACCATGTGGCTATATAGCAAAACCTTAATTTGGCTTAGGACTTGAAGACACATTTAAGACATAACATGAAGAACTAAGGGAGGAGGAAATGCTTGGGAGCAATTCAAAAGAAAATGATAATAATTGCTTCCCAGTGTGCCCCCACTCCAATGAGGAATGGGAGTGTTTTCAGGGAGGAAAGGAAGAAGCCTCCGTGCAACCTAGAGAGAGTGCATATATGCAAGCCCTGCTGGTATCCTGCTTCCCACAGTGGGGAATGTGGCCTGGGCATGAGAACAGTGATTGACCTACTTACAGTGCTCAAGAGCTATTTCTTGTCCATCCCAGTTTAAGGAAAGCATGAAAATGAAGGAAATATCTTGAAGGAAAGTGTTCTCTTAATGTTTTTGGGTTTTTCTCCTGATGTAATTTTTTTTTTATTCATTCATTTGGCTACATAGAAGCGAGGGCATAAAAATCTTTCTCTTCTCAGTTTTACGTCCATTTCCTTTCTCCAAATCAGCATGTCATTATTTAAATTTTGAAATGGGTTTCAGTAGTATTTTTTCAGT